GGATACCGGATGCCAAAACCTACCAATTGCGAGTGTCCCGACTCGGTGTACTCGATCATGCGCCAGTGCTGGGACGCTGACCCGGATAAGCGGCCTACATTCGAGTACCTTTACGGTTTCTTTGACGACTTTCTCGTAGCAGCTGAACCCAATTACAGGGACGCTGAAGAGTTCTAGCATTCATCATCTTCACCATCACCATCATCCGAAACAGCTTTCTCAAGTTCTATCAAGTCGACATTCCTTTTTTGCTCAAACCAACAAACCAAAGCAACTTTAAACGTTTTTTGCCCGTATTTTAAAGTATTTGCAGCTCTGGAACTGCAGATTCTTGCCAGCTTCTGCGCTCTTCTCTCTTTGGACTGTCTTTCACTTGGTTGAACATTTTTAATTTAAGTATTTCCCAAATTGCCACTTTTACACCCTCTCTACAGACCTGCAACTATGTACATTGACTTTCCATACTCATCTGCTGAAAGACATTTGTGTTCTCGACTTGTGATTCTTTTGATATGTAAATACCAAGCTCTTCCTGACTGTCTATCTACACTTTTTTTGAACCGTAAACATCTCCACTAAATGTACATACTATTCTACTGACTGAAGTGATACCCTGTACCTTTCCACCCATTCACCCATCTGACTGACTGACCCTTTACAAGGATGCACGTAAAAATGAATCTTTGCCACTCACGCAACAATCCCTTCCCCCACCCAACCTGGTCACATTCAAACCTCGCTTTTTCCAAGTAAAAAATCTGGCTAATTTTTGAAAAGCAAAATATACGTTGTTTGTGTTTGACTCGTCTTTCGGAAAGTACGTAACAACTTTTTACGGCGTGTTCTTTCCTTCCGCGTAAGTCTACGGCAAATCTTGCTGTCTACCAGCCATTTCGCGCTTTGCGTCCTCTCTGGTCCCTTATCAGACACACCCACCACTCCAACAGAATGCAGAACGACAACGGCGAATGCGTGGATCTCTACATCCCACGAAAATGGTATGTTTTAAAGCCCTTTCTAGCGTGTGCTTTATTGTTGACAATTTGACTTGCTCTTCTTGGACAGCTCGGCCTCCAACCGAATCATCCACGCCAAGGATCACGCCTCCGTGCAGATGTCCTTTGTTGACGTCGATGAGAATGGCCTGTACCGAAACTCCCAGACTGCTTTTGCCATCTGCGGTGCTCTTCGACGAATGGTATTTATTATTGTTTAGTTTCAGGAACTTATTTTATATTTTCTTCCTTTAGGGCGAATCTGACGACTGCATAAACCGATTGGCCAAGCGAAGTGGACTCCTTCCTAAGTAAGTTTTTTCGGCTACACCAATTTTTAGTTGACTAAAAATTTACACTTTTGTTTGTTTACATTTTAGGAACTTTTAAAAATGAAATGTAATTTTGTTTAAGAAATAAACATCTTCATTTGATCCTTTTGTTGCCTTTTGTTGCCCAAATATGAACTAAAGCAAAATGTTTTAGTGCTAATGTTTGTGGTTAACCATTTTCAAAATTTTTAATTTTTAATTTTAAAATTAGTTAAAAAGAGTTCATTAACAAGATATAGCGGCCTGATTGAAAAGCGCAGGGCCACCAGTGATGCCATTTTGCTCAATGGATCACTGAGCAGGTCAGCCGCTTCGTTTCCATTCTGACATTTGCGATGGAGCTGCGAGCAGCACACGGACGAACCCGAATACCCGTGCCGTTCACTGCCTGCCTGCCTCAAGAATACATAGAGAGAATTGCTGCTACTTCTGCTGTTGCCGTTGTTGTCAGAGTGCTGCCGCGGCTGCATCCTTAGCAGTGGCACCTTTTGCCGCCAGTACGACAGGCCACGGATTTGCTGCTGTGCAGCAGTGGAGTCCTGGAGTGAAGCCAGCGGAATGCACCACCACTCGAAGGAGAGCAAGCAACAGCGAAACAACAGCAACTGGGTATTGTCTTCTGGAACCACAGCAACCTGCAGTAGTAGTCACTCAGTGCAGAGTCATTGAGAGACAGAAGGCTCCAGTAACCAGCGACCAGTGCCACTTTGCCATCTATCATCACTTGCTATGGCGAGGAGTTCTTCACCTTCTTCGATGTCAAACAGTGAAGTGAACCGAGGCCCCAACTGTTCTCTTTCCCATGTGCTGCAGTGACCAATTATCGTCAATATTGAAACATGCTGGTTGCCTTTGAAGTACCAGTGCGCCTGTCAAGTGATGAGCCAAGTGAAGCAAGTAAGTCAACGCTGATTTCGATTTTCAAGAAAGTTTTTAAACAGATAGCACTGTTGACTTGTCAGGATGAGAGAATGCGGTTGAGTTAGCACTGAATCACCGACGGCAGGAGAAACACATTTGTCGCTGATTTGCTAATGAGTCTCTAATGAGTTTAGTCAATTTCTTTGTGGCGTACAGTGGTAGCAAAAGTTAACTTGCTCCAGAATGAAGCACCTTTTTGCCCCTTCGACTACCCTGCTGCTTGACTATTGATATAGGGCGAAACTCTACTTCAAAGCAGCACGCACCGCTCTGCCTCAGTCTGTCTCATTCCTTACGTATTGCCTGTCTTGTGACACTGTGAACTGTGTTGCAAGGCAACCAAACAAGCCAGTGGCAACATGACGGAGGACTCTAGACACTTCGTGACAATCATCATTGCCATTGAACCACCGAGTCGGGCAAACGCCGATTGCGAACTGTGTGTGTGTCGGTGAACCTGTGCTTGGGCCTCTCTTCTGCCATATGCGGGTATTGTGTGTGAGTGTCAGTGTCAGATTTCAATTCATTGATGAATGGCAAAGCCCTGCGCAAGACATATGATTGAAGATGGAGCTGTGTGCTCACCACTGTGCCTCAATCAGCAGATGTAGCAATTCTCGACGATCTGTTGACTCTGTGAGAATTGGCAAATAATTGCATCCACTTCTTTCAGCGTCGAACTCACCCACTGGCAAGTATTGTTATTCTCTGCACTCCTCGGTGTGTCCTTCTCTTCGATTTCTCTCCAAGTTTGCCAGTCACAGTCGGTGGTACTTCAATTGAAGTGCATGTGTGTGTCTGTTGTGAAGGTGATCCACTGGGTGACGATCCAGTTGATGGTGCTTCATCACTTCATCACTTCATCTCTCAGTCCTATTCATCATACTGTCCTTGAAGGGACCAGCTTGAGACTGGCTTCCCAACCTCCACCGGATATATTGACTTTGCCATCGATCTCTTGAGTAGTCTGTTTATGTTCGCTCTCAGTTCTGTTCGACAGTTTTTGTAGTGCAGCAATTGGAAACAAAAAGCCAAAACGGTGGCAGCTTCGACGGACCGGTGCCCATTGGATGCTTTCTACCGTGCCGTCTTTATTTAGCCGCCTTGCCTTCCTTCAATGACGTCGTCGCCCGGTTCTTCGTAGTGCTTCGTCGTTGCTTGTTACCAGCAACAGATAACTTCTTGCCGCCTTCAAAAATATCCACCATTACCAGCAGCAGCAGCTCTACCATCACCGTCGACACCAATGGAGAGCGCATTAGCATGAGCAGGCACTGACTGCAGACACGACACTGCAGCAAGGGTGAGACAGGCGTCGAACCAGGCACCGATTTCCATTAGGCGTTGCTTCTCCCTCCACTGCACCACCAGCTTCCACCAGCAGAAGCACTGCACTGCACCGGCAGCAGCACTTTTGAACACTTGAAACAGCACCGAGCACTGAGCGCTCTTGCATGGCATGGACGGCCAAGATGAAGTCGACACTTCAAAAACAAACCTTCTCTTGGTCGTTCCTCAATAACGAACACGCGCGCATCGCCGTTCTCGCACTTCGTTTGCACTTGCGCGCCTCGGTCGCCATGTGCTTGACTGCCCTAGTTTGATTTCATTCTCAACATTGACAATCAACATTTGTTTTTTACATTTGTACATCTTTAAATGACAAATCGGACTAAAATCGGTATATATTTTGAATTAAATTGTCATCTTCCTAAATGCTTACTTTGGAGCAAGTCTTCTTCATTTAACTGGCAACTTTTTCACTTGCGCCGTACACTTTATTTTTAACAGCACGATTTTTAATTGTTTTGTCTGCAAAAAGAAACTGCTGTTTTGTTTCAATATGTGCCCAGCGTTGATTAGTTTCTAAAAAGTATTTTTGTATAAAACACATTGTGATTAAGACTGGTCTCTTCTGTGTTTTAATTTCTTTGAGCATCGTCCCAAATCTATTCTCACACGGAGCAGTACACTAATTGTACAGTGTCATTTTGTTAATGTTCAACTCTGTGTAATGACAACAATTGAAGGAAGGAATGTGATGACCTCAGCGCCGAACAACCGTCTCATTCGCTCCAGCTCTTTCTGCGGCCATTGTCACTGTCCTGTGCAGCTATATTGGGTACATTGAGCGGTAATAGCGGGCCATCTAGATAGAATGCACAAGATTCACTGGAGACAGTCTTTGAATGGACGGGCTAACATTGCTATTAGAGCTGATGTTCATGTTCATTGTGTAAACCGCTGTTGCCGACGCTTCAAGTGTCGCAGACGCTGCCGATGCTGCTGTTGCCTGTACGAGCATCACTGTCCGCAAGTGCGGCTTTGCCAGCGCTGAACGCCCTCGACGGGGGTGCCTTTGTGTGTCTCCTACCCAGCAGACTGGCCCTTTCTAAGCTCAGTTTGCGGTTAGTCGTTGTCAGGTTTGGTAGGTCCTATGCTCGCGAAGAAAAACGACTGCCCATCGGCAGCAATTGAGCACGTCGTCGCTACTGCTAATGCAGCTCTGACGACCGCACGAGCCAGCAGCAGTAGCCCTCTAGGAAGCAATCTTCCTGGCCATTTTCCACCACCTTGCTATCGATCAGTCCATTAGTCGGTACTACTCTTCGACCCAGNTCGAGCCAGCAACAGCAGCACTCTAGGAAGCAATCTTCCTGGCCACCTTCCACCACCTTGCTATCGATCAGTCCATTAGTCGGTACTACTCTTCGACCCAGTAGTCCTATACTTGGCCATTCTTTTTCTCCTTCCACTGTTGCCTGTTGTAGTTGTCGCTGCTGCTGCTGGCGCAGCTTTTTGTTGCTGTAGTAGAAAAGCACCCGTAGCCAGTGAATGCTCTTTTCTCTAGTTTACTTACTTAAAAACTGGCAGCCTCACCTCATACTCATTTTCTCTTTTTTGTCATTTTAATTTTCAGCAGCTTATTTAGAAAGGCAAGCCATCTTGAGCAGAGATCAGCTGCATCTTCACGGCTACCACGCCTTACCTAGTGGCCGCATGAAAAGATGATCGACAGTACTGCGGTGGACCAGGTTGACTTGGTAGAACTGGAGGCGGNTTGTCATTTTAATTTTCAGCAGCTTATTTAGAAAGGCAAGCCATCTTGAGCAGAGATCAGCTGCATCTTCACGGCTACCACGCCTTACCTAGTGGCCGCATGAAAAGATGATCGACAGTACTGCGGTGGACCAGGTTGACTTGGTAGAACTGGAGGCGGAACCGACGCCAGCCGCCGCCTTGCCACCACCTCAGCCCCAGAGGACGCACCTTGTGATAGCAGAGTCGGCTGGCGCAAGTGGCAGCGGTGGTCAACGCGGTGGATCAGTGCCCACGGTACACTTTGCCGGAAGAGTTCAGTGGCCCAATGAGTTGGCGGCAAACGCCGCCAGTCACAGTGCACATTCCCGGTCACTGGGCTGTCTGCCAGGCGACCCGCAGACGCCGGCGAGCCCTTCTGCCATCATTCGAAGTCGACAGAGCAACCGCCGAGTGATGCTCAACGTGGGCGGTGTCAAACACGAGGTCAGCTGGCGGACGTTGGACCGACTGCCGCGAACACGACTGGGCCGCCTGCGAGAGTGCGTCACCCACGAGGCACTGGTGCAGATTTGCGATGACTACAACCTGGCGGAGAATGAGTACTTCTTCGATCGACACCCTCGCTCCTTCGGTGCCATACTCAACTTTTATCGCACAGGTAGGTCATTTTTAAATACTGCTGAACGAGTTGCAGTCAACAAAATGTCTAACCAAATTCACAGGAAAGCTGCACATGGTGGAGGAGATGTGCGTCATGGCTTTTAGCGACGACCTCGAGTACTGGGGCGTCGACGAGCTGTACCTGGAGTCCTGCTGCCAGCACAAGTACCACCAGCGGAAGGAGCACGTTTTTGAGGAGATGCGAAAGGAGGCAGAATCGCTACGACAAAGAGAGGAGGAGTACTTTGGCGAAGGCAAACTTGCATACTACCAAAAGTTCATCTGGGACCTGCTTGAAAAGCCAACGTCGTCGTTTTCAGCGCGGGTAAGTAGAAACATATCTGGGTCTATTTTTGGTTAAATCTGATATCTTTACCAATTTAGGTAGTCGCCGTAGTGTCCATTCTTTTCATTATTTTATCTACCATTGGCCTGACACTAAACACCATTGATAGCTTCCAAGAAGTTGATCCAGTGACCAACGATAAAGAGGAGAACCACAAGTTGGCAATGATTGAGGCAGTGTGCATTACTTGGTTCACATTAGAGTACGCCTTGCGTTTTGCCTCTTCACCCAACAAGTGGAAGTTCTTCAAAGGTGGCCTCAATATCATTGACCTCCTCGCCATCATGCCTTACTTTGTGTCCCTTTTTCTCGCCGATGTCAACAAGGGTCCTGGCTCTGAACAGTTTCAAGATGTGAGAAGAATAATTCAAATTTTCCGAATTATGCGCATTCTTCGCATCCTCAAACTTGCTCGACATTCCACTGGCTTGCAGAGTCTCGGTTTTACATTGAAGAACAGCTACAAAGAGCTGGGCCTGTTGATGCTCTTCCTCGCCATTGGCATTATGATTTTCAGTAGTCTAGCTTACTTTGCCGAAAAGGACGAACCAAATACCAAGTTTAAGTCTATTCCGGAGACTTTCTGGTGGGCCAGCATCACAATGACAACCGTGGGTATGTTGAATTAGCTGAACACAACAATTAGACATGAAGTTCACAAACAAATTAATTGTAGGATACGGTGACATTTTCCCAATAACAATCTTTGGCAAGATTGTCGGTGCAGCATGCTGCATTTGCGGCGTACTGGTCGTTGCACTACCCATTCCAATCATTGTGAATAATTTTGCAGAGTTTTACAAGGTAAACAGTGATCATAAAATTGTGAGAGACTAATGCGCCGAATGTTTTCAGAATCAAATGCGACGTGAAAAAGCTTTAAAAAGAAAAGAAGCTCTGGAGCGTGCAAAAAGAGAGGGGTCCATTGTTTCCATTCAGCATGTCAATTTGAGAGATGCGTATGTGAAATCTATGGATCTAATAGACGTCCTTGTTAATGAAAGCCAAAATCAACAAGCTAGCGTCGAGGTGAGTGACTTAAGTTCATCGGCAACTGCAGATAACTGACTTTGTGAACCATCTCAGATTGGCGAAACAACCAGCATCGGCGGAGACTCGGCCATCAACACTGGTCTTGGCTGTTATCGTAACTTTGAGCACTTTTTACCTGGTGGCGTTCTTGCCATGACTGCTCTTGGTTCGCGCAAAAGCTCACGTGCTGACCGGGGAAGTAGTGGATCTACTCTTCCGATGGGCAACACTCACACCACCACCGCCATCAATCGCATATCGGCCACTTCTGTGAGCGCAAATAATCTACTTGATCTGTCGCCCATGTCCAGGTCCAGTCCTTGTCAGTTTCTGGAGAACACTGCTTCCCCACTTTCGAGAGGGCCTGATGGTGGCAAGAGCAGTGATAACGAGCCGCGCAACTCTTCGGAGCAGCTTTCTCACCGGAACGGACGATGCACAGACTCTCAGTCATCACTGCAGCACAAGTCTAGGCCCGACCTAGTGCCACTGCTCGAGTCGCAAAGAGCAGTCAGTGGGTCTGGCACTGTTTCCACGGTGGCGCCGCCAACAACTGCAACTAACTCTGTTAATTGCACATCGACCAACAGCAGTAACAGCAACAGCAACAGCAAGCCAAACATTCGCACTCATCCACTGGTAAGTGAATGCCAATTTTTCTTTGGTGCCCTTGCTTGCTCTAATCACCTGCCACCGTCAATCGTTTGCTTCGTGTCCAATTAAACCTGTTTAATCATGAATCCCTCGTTCATTGCTCATTAACATATCTGCATCGCCCCAGACATATAAATATTTTGCTCTACTACGTGCTGTTGATGTGCTTCAGTAGAAAAACCTACTAATCAGTTTTGCAATCAGGCAAGCCGTCCAAATTACCTTGTTACGAGACCACCCTACCGAACTGTTATGCTTCACTGCATTGCCTTTTCAAGCAATATCAGTTGCCTTTTCTCTGACAATTGGCTTTAACAGCTTTCTCTACACAACATGGTGCTTTTTAGCTGCACTAAGCACATTTCACAGCATACCAATCTTTTTTAAAAATCACTAATTGTTTATCAACTCATTTTCGGTAGAAGTAAAGTTCCAATCACTCAGCAAGTGCAGTGATTTCCCAAGAGCCTAAACGAAAGTCTAAAGCCTGCTGTCACCTTTCCTCAATACCAAGCTTTTCTAGAGGCTAACTGCACCTTTTCTTAAACTTGAAATCTGAACAAACGATTGTCCAACCAGTATTTCTCTTATATTTTCTTCACAGGATGACGAAAAGAGAAAAACATGTTGAAACATGTTGGTTATTCGCTAAAAACTATTTCTCTAACGACTTGACTCTGTGCTTGACATTGTTTCAAAATAATGTAGACAATATTGACAGCTGCTGGCAAGTTCGGTTTTGCTGGAAACACTGGTGATTGCAATGATCTTTGGGCAAGTGCTGTGTCGAAATGTGCCCCCACCACTTTTGGTCGTACAATAAAGGCATTCACTCTCTTCACTCTTGCTTCATGTGATCTCTGTTTGGCTTCACTTTTCTGTTTCTGAGCACCTAGTGCTCTTCCAACTTGCATGGTAGTAGTTTTGTTTGTTTCAAACTACAGTGCTCTTCACTCACACTCATCTTTCACTCTCTTTCCCTCCCTCTTCTCCTTTTTCCTTCTCTCTTTCTCTCCTCCTGACCATCCCCACCATACAGGATTGCACCGTTTTGTCCGTTTTGTTTCGCCCCTGCAGCAGCCTCTCGAAGAGTCATTCTAGTGACAGCAATTTAAAATCAGAAGCCGGTGCTGCCGGGGAGCTGCTTGAACCACTGATTGATCTCTCTCGAGGGCGCTCTCCATCGCTGAGCTTGAGCGCCGCCGCTAGACCCAAACTGGGCAGCATTCGAGGAGTGCGCACCTCGGCTGGCGGCCCTGGCACCTCCGGCAGCAGTGTTGAGATGAAGAGTGTCGAGTCGACCGAGTCCAGTGACACCTTCGCCAGCTGCAATACCCACCCCTTCAACTCACAGGCAGACCTGACCACCGAGTCGACGGTCGTCACCGGCGGCGACTCTACTGGCGTCGAGTCCGAGGGCGAACACAGTGGTCAGCCAGTGGTCAGTCTGTTGGTGCCTCAAGTGCTGCCTCGGGCCCCACCTGACCCTGTGAGCAGTGCCGCTACCAAATACACCTTCTTGCACAGCTCCATTGAGCACTGCCCTAAATCTACAACTTACACTAAGTGTCCTCCAAGTGAAAAGTAGTACA